GATGACGAGCCAGGCCGCGAGCTTCATGGAGGTGGGGTCCAGGATGACGCACGCTCTGCGCTCTGCCCCGCGAACGCCGCGAGGCGGGCGTCGCGCAGAGCAGCGAGGGCAGCCTTCCAGGCCTGCGACGCCCCAGCGGCCCCCTCGTTCTTCAACGCCGCCTTCGCGGCAACGCGCAGCTTGTCGGGCGACTCAACCCCGCGCCCTGGCCGCTTCAGCGCGGCTGGCTTCAACCGCTCCTCCTTCGTCGATCGAACTCTCGAACTGCCGCGCGGCCATCCCGGAGCCCTCGGCGGACGCCAGCGGGGCGCGGCCAGCGTCGGAAGGCGGCGGCGCGCCGACGGGCAGCAGCGGCGGCGGCGCGGGCCACTGCTGCCCATCGGCGCCGCTGCCGCCCGAGAGATGTACAACCCGTGGTGGATGTGGACCCGGCGACTCCAGTTGCGGAGCGCCGCGGCCATCTCGCGGACGTTGCGGCGGCGCAGGGCGGGCCTGTCAGCCCCTCCTGGGATCGACGTCAGGGGTCCGCAGAGCTGCGCAGACCGCGTTGCCGCGTTGACCTGGCGACTGACGTCCGCGTCGCCGAAGAGGAGCTGCTGCGCACAGTTCTCGCCCGCGTCCGGGGTCTCAGCGAGGTAGTTCCCCGTGGCCTGCAGCGCTGCGGACGTCATGCTGCTCGCGAAGCCGTCGAGCCAACGGCGCTCCTCGTTCGGCTACGGGAAGCGGCCCAGCCACCCGCAGCAATTGCGCAATGAATCCAGGAGGGAGGCGTCGGCCCGCAGGGGCAGCGAGGCCCCCGCCCCCGCACCCCTGGGAGTTCCGAGCCATTCCCCCGCCCCCTCGCCCCAGAGGCCCAGGGCGCCCTCGGGGGGCCTGGGGCCTCTTGCAACGATTATGGAGCCACTCCGCGGGCCTCCCCCAGGACCACGCGGCCCTGCGGCCACGCTCGAAACTTCTGGAGCCTCTACTGAAGCAACGGGCTATGAAAACCCTGCAAGACGCCCCTGGACTCCTGGGGCGTCGTTCTTGGCGCTGAGGACGAAGAGCATTGCTGAAGCGCTTTGCGAAGCCAGTGTCGCTTGGCTTCAAAATGCGTTCGCATGGCCTGGTCTGTTCCAAAGACCCAATGGAAATACGAATAGTGGTCGAGCGACATGCCCCCCGGGGCCGCGGCGAACGCGCCCCTCTCGTAGCTGACGAACTTCAGCGTGGTGACCCTGCTGGCGTGGTTGACCCCTTTCGTATTCTCCGATTGGGGGCACTCGCACGCGGCGCCCGCCTCGGCAGAGAAGTAGCGCCGGACCTGCCAGCGTTCAGGATGGCGCTTCTGTGGCCCTCGACAGTTCCAGCGCCCGCGGTGTGCCGGCCCTCCCGCATGTCCTGCTCGATGTCCGGGCTCTCCATGCACCACTTAGTCACGAAATCGTGGAGGCTGCTCTTGCGGGTCGAGGGCGGCCCGCCCACGAATCCAGGGGCGTTCGGGCTCCGCAGGTTAACGTCGCCCTCGGAATGAGCGAGGCGGGACTTAACGTT